TCTTCATCATCATCATCATCATCACCATCCTCATGGTACTCTTCTTGAACCACCAACGCCTTGTGAGGGATTTTCTTGGTGAAGTTGTTCTTGTTGGGGAAAGACTTGGCTTTGTCCTTTCGAATGAGCTTGCCACCATTGTCTTCCCTCTTCTCATACGGGCACTCCACAACAAAGTGACTCACATTGCCACAATTGTAGCAAGTCCTTACACGTTGCTTGCTCTTCGTGCCACTTGAGTTGTTCTTGTTGAAGTTTGGCCTTGAGTTTTTATTACTCCAAAATTGCCTTGAAGCAAGTGCCATGTGTTCATGATAGGCATACTTTGTATCTTCAGGGTTGCTTTCCTCTTCTTCCTCTTCTTATTCCTCTTCACCGCAAACCTTGGCCTTTAATGCAAGGTTGGGCTTCTTTGCCCTTTGAGAGTGAAGCACCGCATTGTCAGCGGTCTTGTCCAAGATGTTCATAGCCACAAACTCATCCAACACTTCACTTGAGGTCAAAGTGTGGAAGTCCGGCCTTTGACGAATGACGGAGGACATGGCCTTGTGGTAAGGCATCATTGCCTTGAGGAATTTGCGCTTGATCCAATTGTCATCCATGTCCTTGCTACCGTGATCTCGGAGTGAGACCGCGAGTTTGGTTACTCTCCGATAAAGCTCACGAGGTTCTTCATCTTCTTCCATTGCAAACTCATCGGCTTCATCTTGCACCACTTCATAGTTGGAGCGTTGAATGCTTGCGCTTCCCTGGTAGAGCGAGACAACACAAAGCCATGCGTCTTTAGCCAAGGCGAAGGGCCGAAGATGAGGTAGATCTTCGGGTGGAATTGCATCTTGAATGATGAAGAGAGCATTCTCATTGAATTGATTATCTGCGGCTTCTCGAGGAGTGAAGTTGCTTGGATCATGCGGATGGAAACCTTCTTCAATGATTCTCTAAAGATTAGTGTTCACATGATTTAAATGATGCTTAAAACGGTAAACCCAAGAATCGAAGTCCTCATTTCTCACAATCTTAGGGGGAGGACCGGCATGATTCAAATGAGTGGAAGGAACCGGTCCACCATAAACAAGTGGTGGTTCCACATGAGCAAAGATGCCGGTGCCATTTTTACCACTAGAAGAAGGAGCCTTTTCACTACTAGCTTCCCCCTTGTCGGAGATAACATCCGTCACCTTGTCAGTGGGATCGCCCACTTTCAACGGTGTAGTGGATAGTTTAAGCCCTTCAAGGAATTTAGTAAACATCCTTTCAACCTCGGTCATCATGGAGGTTTTCAATGTCTCCAAGGCCACATTGAACTCCTCACGAGAGACCGAGGTTCCCCCATCGCCTGTAGACGAGATCAGATTCACACCGGAGTGTTCCTCCACACCGTCTACGGTATCAACCATACTCTTCGGATGGTAAAGTCCTTAATAAAGAGATGAGGCTCTGATACCAATTGAAAAGATCGATATGGTTGACTAGAGGGGGGGGTGAATAGGCAACTAACAATTTTTAGCTTTTCTTTAACAATTTAAACTTTGCATCAAAGTAGGTTGTCTAGATATGCAACTAGGTGAGCAACCTATATGATGCAACAAAGATAGGAACACAAGCAAGCAAGAGATATATCACAAATAAGCTTGCACAAGTAAAGGCACGAGATAACCAAGAGTGGAGCCGGTGGAGACGAGGATGTGTTACCGAAATTCCTTCCCTTTGAGGGGAAGTACGTCTCCATTGGAGCGGTGTGGAGGCACAATGCTCCCCAAGAAGCCACTAGGGCCACCGTATTCTCCTCACGCCCTCACACAATGCGAGATGCCGTGATTCCACTATTGGTGCCCTTGGAGGCGGCTACCGAACCTTTACAAACAAGGTTGGGGCAATCTCCACAACTCAATTGGAGGCTCCCAACGACACCACGAAGCTTCACCTCAATGGACTATGGCTCCGCGGTGACCTCAACCGTCTAGGGTGCTCAAACACCCAAGAGTAACAAGATCCGCAAGGGATTAGTGGGAGGAATCAAATTTCTCTTGGTAGAAGTGTAGATCGGGGCCTTCTCAACCACTCCCGAGAAAATCAACAAGTTTGATTGGCCAGGGAGTGAGATCGGGCGAAAATGGAGCTTAGAGCAACAATGGAGCTTAGGGTTGGAAGAGGTAGTCAACACGAGGAAGAAGACACCCCTTATATAGCTAAGGAAGAAAAACCAACCGTTATCCACCTACCAGCCCGTGACCAGCGGTACTACCGCTCCAGAACAGCGGTACTACCGCGAGGCCACGCGGTACTACCGTGAGGAGCCGCGGTACTACCGCAGCAGCAATAGTAGCTAGGGCAGACCTTAAGCACATGGGCTGAGGATGGTACTTCCGCAGACGCGGTACTACCGCTCCCCCTTGCGGTACTACCGCAAGGCAGGGAACCCCAACCCTGGGAAGAGCGTGGATAACAGAACAACCGTGCCAACTTCTGCTGGAAAAACGGACGTAGCAAAAATCTGACACAGTACTACCGCAGAGGAGCGGTACTACTGCCTGGCAGCTGAGCTAGGCCGCGCACGGTACTACCACGCAAGGGATGCGGTAATACCGCGGTAGTGCGGATGTAAAAAAATTACATCCGCCCCTACTACCGCGAGGGAGCGATACTTGGCCTGGGGGTCACGGTACTACGGCTCCAGAGGAGCGGTACTACCATGGGCACCCACGGTACTACCGCGCCACAGCATGGTACTACCGCTGGTGCCTACGGTACTACCGCTCACTAGGGAGCAGTACTACCGCAAGCCAACACAGCAGCCAGAACAAGGCAAAGAGATAAAAACGGAGGATGCTCCAAGGTGCAGGGGAAAGGAGGGGACTAGAAAGAAACGTGTACGTGATGATTCCACCCGAACCTTTCCGACGCGGACCCCCTCTTAATATTACGACTTTCCTACGACTCAAATCCACCAAAAAGAAACGTAGAAAAACGTTGTCCTCAATAGTCTTCGAGGGACTCCAAACCGTCTTGTGCCTAGCGAAGAAACGTCTGGGAAACTCAAGACACACGATTAGTCTGCAAACGCATTGTCATCAATCACCAAAACACCTTAGGGATAAATATGCCCTTACAGTAGGGTCATGGGCCTGACCTAGACGCCCTACCCAAGGACACTACCCTAGAGTCAAAGACATTCAAAGTACAACCGAAGATACCGACTGAAATCACCTTCGAGTGCAATCCACTTGACAAGATATACCACTCGGATATCCCAATTTCACTCGACAAAGATAGAGTCATTTGATCGTACGAAGAGTCAATCGGAATACAGAAGATCTAAATCCACCCAGGATGGCAATGGTCAGACATTCACTCCGTAGTCTTAAAGGTCATTTATAGTCCTTTATAGCTGGCGTTACCAGTAACGCCCTGTCTTAATGTACATTGAACTCTATGTAACCGAGGGCTTGAGTGATCCGGCGCATCCTATATAAGCCACCCCTTCTCTGGCACAAGGGTTCGCACCCCCTGTAACTTTCACGCATATCCAGTCGACCAAGTCTCCGGGCACCGAGACGTAGGGCTATTACTTCCTTCGAGAAGGGCCTGAACTCATAAACCTTGGGTGCACAACTTCACCGTAGTTAGGACCTTGCCTCCTTCTACGTACCCCCTATTTTTACTATCAGACTCACTCCCACAACTGGTATATTTCGCGTCATCCCGTCTCCGCCGATTTTCCCCTTCCGCCATCTCCGACCGAACCCCCCTGCATCGTGCCCTACGTTGTGTCTTGCTTTTGTGCCCGACTCAGCTTGGCTCAATGAAAACAGTTTTTTTAGACAATCCTCACTAAGCTTTATTCATATCTTAGAACGTTTACAGGAAGAAAATGGAGATCTCTCGGTTGGCCCAACCACACATGCGGCCAAATCCAAGAGTGAAAGTGTGCTTAGCGAGATTGTGAGCCTCGAAGTTCGAGCTCCTATTCTCGTGAACGAAATTACACGCAGAAAAATACTTAGATAGTTCTAAAATTTCATGCACAATGGCACCATACTCCGCTGCAGATTTCTGTTTGATGCCGTCCACCACAATCTTGCAATCCGAGGCAATCTGAATATTGTTCAAATAAAGGTCCGCAACCACTGCCTGTCCTTCCCGGACCGCTAATGCCTCGAGTATGGTCGGGTTCAAAATGAACCGATGGGTAATCGAAGATGCTTCTAGAAATCTTCCCTCTTGATCTCTGCAAACCACCGCCGCGGCTCCTTTCCTGCACTCCCCATCTACTTCAGCATCTACATCTACCTTCGCATATACTGAAAGTGGAGGCAACCAAGCTGACTGCTTGTGTTTGGTCGTTCTGACCAATGGTTGGCATGGTTTTGCTACAAGCTTTAGTTTCTTCAGATAGAAATTGATAAAATAATTGGTGGAGAAAGGGCTTTCATATATCTCTTCATGAATAACTTTTTTCTTCGAACACGCCAAATTGCCCACAGTGTCACCACCATTCTTGTAAACTCATTTTGTTCCAAAATATCATGCATTGTGAACACCCAGTTTTTTCAGCATTCCAGCGAGCCAGGCTCTAGGATGTTTTAAGTTTCGCCCCTATACGAGTCAGGCCTGTTTGCACACTCGTGTCTCCATTTTCGTCCCGCCCGAGCCTGACTGGGCTCTATGTAGCCTACCAAACGCATCACTCGTGTCTCCATTGGGCCGCCTTGCCTTGGGTCGATGTGTTCAGTCCCGATTGATCCAATGGACGGCTGCGATTTGGTGAGGTCCACCCGGTGGACGGTCTTGTACGCATCGCTCGTTCCATACCCAGCACAGTAGAAGCCAGCAGAGCAGCCCATCCAACTCTCTCTTCCTCTCTCCTGAAGCCCGACCCGGCAGTTGACGCCCAGCTCCAACAACACCGGTGATCCCCTCCTCCGGCGTCGGCGACCTTCCTCAGCTATCGTCCCCGCGTCGCCCTCCACATCCACCTTTTCTTTTGTTCCGACGTAGCCATGGTAACCAACGCGATCACGTCCGATCTTGACCACCTTGCTAGGACTTTCCTTATTTGTTCCCCTCCGAATTGGGGCGTCTTTACCACCTGAGATCGCACTAGATCCCACTCTGATTTCCGGTCTTTTTTCTCAGAATTACATCATCGGCGCCTTCAAGCCGCCCTGCGACATCTTCGTGACCTTTTCCGATGAGAGGAGCCGGAAGCAGGTACAGCGGTCCCTTCGGCTGCGACATCTTCGTGACCTTCTTCGTGTTCAGGAGAGGTCGTTGGGTTCTTGGACTCATTCTCAGCCTTTTGATTCTTAATCGCAGGTTGCAGTCAAGAAGGATAATGGAAAGACAACCATGGTGCCGGCGTTCCAGAGCCTGGAGACCATAGCCGGAGAGGTACCGACGGTGGTGTTCCTTGCCTGCCGCTTGTTTGTTCTAGGGTGTGAGGTCGACTGTTGGCATGGATTTGTGATTAAATGGTTTGCAGGTATCAATAGCGCCTGTTCCTGGTAAAAGGATTGAGCACATGGGTGTTAAGATTGAGCTGCTTGGACAGATAGGTAAAGTCTATGCTGCTCCTTCAAATGCTTCCGTGATGTGATTAGGTTAAGTGCTCTGGTGCTGGTGCTAATTGATCTGTAGGATGCTGTATCACGTTCTTAGAAATTAAGCATAGTTATTCTTCCGGATTGCTGACTGCACTATTTGTTTGTAAATGCTATTCTGAAATTTCATTACCTAAATTGTAGGATTTCATTGCTGGGAAACTGCAAAAAATATTGCTCCTGAGCACCAATCTTACTTTTGTTTATCTCTGTCCACTCATAAACTACTCCCTCCGTTCCAAATTACTCGTCGCAGAAATGGATGTATCTAGAACTAAAATACATCTAGATACATCCATACCTGTGACAAGTAATTCGAAACGGAGGGAGTACTTTTCAACACTTCAGGTCTTGCTAGGTATTAACATTATTGTTTGTGTTCATTTTTATTACAGAGTTGTATTTCGACAGAGGCAACTTCTATGACTTCACTTCACTGGGTAGGTTCTCTCTTGAAGTAATTTTCAACACTATTTTACAGTAGGACAATAACCTTCCTGCCAAGATATCCTCTGTGCTGTTCACAATTATTGCTGTCTGTTCCTTTTCTTTTGCTAGCACGCTTTGAATATTGCTATCCTTTAGAAACACATTGTTTACTAATCCCAAAAATAATCTTCAAAATCTCTCTGATACTGTGCCTTATGAACAAAATTTGTTGTTCTCATCTTGCTTGTTATGTGTACTCTGCTCATTAAAGTAAAGAAGTATAATTAAGTGAACAGTGTATATTTGTTTGGCCCTCAGATGATGTGTAGCTTACCGCCGCTCGATCGATCTAAGTTACCTACCTTATTGTTTTTTATAAGTCCATTTCATCACCTGAAGTGCCTTTTTCTGTACATGCAGTGCGTGAGTTAGATGTTCCTGGTGAAATATATGAAAGAAAGACATATCCATTTGAGTTCTCTACTGTTGAAATGCCATATGAGTCATACAATGGAACAAATGTCAGACTGAGGTAAGAAAGAAATCTACTCCCTCCGTCCCATAATATAAGATTTTATTACAACACTCACATATTGATTGTAGTAACATCTTATATTATTATGGGATGGAGGGAGTAAAATACTTGCATTGTGCTTTGCACATCTCATAACAAAGAATAGTGTGCATACTGTTCAGCATCAAAAACTAAATTAACACCATCTCTGAAGACTTGGTGTGTTACAGTACGTAATGGGCCTAATGGCCTGGGCTGGCGGTATAGCCCGTTAGTCTTAGGGTTAATTAGAGATAAGGGTCGCTTGCTTAGGGGTCAAGTAAGCCTTGCTTGGGAGTCAAGTAAACCTCTCTATATTAAGAGAGGAGATGTATCAATCTAATCAAGCAAGAATTAAGAAGGAAATCCCTTCCCTCTTGCCCGGCCGTGGGCAAAAAGGCCCCCGGCCGACCCTCTTGCGCCGCCCTCCTTCTAGCAGGACCATAACAATTTGGTATCAGCTAGCTTCGGTTCGATCATGTCTTCACCGTCGCCCAACCCGTCTCTTTCGCTGCCGGGATCCTCCGTCGCGCCCGCCCCCGCCGTCCTCACCCCGGAGGAGGTGTTCGGGGCGCTGCGGGACCTAACCCAGGCGGTCCAGGAGATCCGCCTGTTCTTGGTCGGGTCCTACGGGCCGCACTCGGCTGCGCCGCCACCGCGCCGCCGTGGCTGCCATGGCAGCCGCTGCACCATGCGGCCTCCGCCGCGCTCGGCGGCCCGCTGCAGCTGCCATCCACCGTGCCCGGCGCTCCGCCACAGCAGCCGCTGCCGCTGCCCCAGGGCGTCCCCGCCGCGCTCGCCGGGCCGCTGCAGCTGCCATCCACCGCCACCACCGCCCCGCCCTGGCTACAGTGGCAGCCGCCGCTCCTGGCGGCCCCCGCCGCGCCCGGCGCTCCGCTGCAACAGCCACCACAGGTCAGCTCCGGCCCCGCATCAACCCCGCCGGCGGGAGTCCCGATCCACCAGATCAAGTTCCCGCCGTCGCCATCACCGCTTCCCTAGGGCGTCCCCATCCAGCAGATCAAGTTCCCGCTGTCGCCATCACCGCTTCCGGTTTGGATCACTACCCGCCACGTCTCGGCGGCGGTGAGGCTGCAGGTTGCTGCGCGCGGCCTCCTAGCACGTCGGCGTGTGCGGGAGATGCGTGTGCGGGAGATGCGTGGTATGCAACTGCTGCTCCTCCAAATTGCCCTTCGCTGCGCAAAGGACCTCGATCTCGTCCGCTGCGTCGTGATCTTGGGCATGCGGTTTCCCCCACGGGCGACGGGCATGTTGTTTTTTCCGCGGGCAGCGACCTCAAAGTTTGCGACATCGGCGGTTGGGGGGGGGGGCACCCCTCCTCGTCATTCTCCATCGCAAGCCCTCCCCTCTTCCCTGTGCGGTGCAGACCAACAGCCGTCCGGCGGGGAGAAGGCAGGGTGTCACCGACAGGAGTACACCGCGTAGCACCACTGCATTCCGCCACCGGCCGCCGCGAAGGCGCCTCTGCTGGTCGCTCTTGTGACCACTTCCAGGTGGCCATACACATGCACTCCTTTTGTCCAGATGGTGTCCATGGGATCCAGGTGGCTGTCCGACGTGCGGATGGTGTCCACTTTTTGTTAAGGGGTCCAAAATAAATCGTCCCAGTCCATTTCAGGTTGAGAGTAATAAAACAAGCCGAGATGTAAACGGCTTGTTTTTAGGTGTTAGGTTTGTGTTGCGTCAAGGCATGGTTATAAGTTGGTTAGGCTGCAGCTCGAGGACAAGCTGCATGTCCAAATGGGGTGTAGTGTTAGAGTACGTAATGGGCCTAATGGCCTGGGCTGGCGGTATAGCCCATTAGTCTTAGGGTTAATTAGAGATTAGGGTCGCTTGCTTAGGGGTCAAGTAAGCCTTGCTTGGGAGTCAAGTAAACCTCTCTATATTAAGAGAGGAGATGTATCAATCTAATCAAGCAAGAATTAAGAAGGAAATCCCTTCCCTCTTGCCCGGCCGTGGGCAAAAAGGCCCCTGGCCGGCCCTCTTGCGCCCTCCTTCTAGCAGGACCATAACATGGTGTGTACTTGTTATGCTTGCAGGTACATCCTGAAAGTGACTATTGGTAGAAACTATGTTGGTAATATTGTGGAATCTCGGGATTTCTGTGTAAGTCTAAACTTCATCTCATGGATCTTCCATGTGTCTGTCACCGTAACTTTGTTTGGTCCAACTTGGACCGCCAATAGACTAATTCTGGTTATCTTATGGAAAGTTGAGTATAAGAATGTCCCCTGATATATATACTTTCATGTGTTCCACGCTATTTTGAGTTGTTCTTTAGTGGTTACATGGAAATGCATCTCAGGTTTTAGTATTTGATGTTTTACGTGGATTACCTAGTGTTCGATGTTCTCTAATGTTTTTGTTTTCAGGTAAGGAACTATTCTCCTCTTCCTTCAATCAATAACAGCATCAAGGTTAGTCCTAGTAACTGGATGTGTTAACTTATTCTGAAGTTTATAATTTAAAGTGTTTCGGTTGTTTGTTGGACTAAGTGATATGCTTGGAATAGGTCAATTATGGGCTTATGGCTTGGTCATGCCCTACTTACCCGTTAGAGTAAATGACACTGGCGGTCTGAGAACTTGACCGCGGCTGCACTTCAGTCATGGTACTTCCAAACCGGAAAAACCTGTCATAGAACTTGCGTTGCGGGTGCAGTTTGGTCACAGGGCCATCTGAACCGGTCAGCCGCCCGGTTTTCCCTCTTTTGCGATCTCGCGCGGTGCATGTGACGTCGGTTGGGCGCGAAAATTGTCACGCTAAGCTCACGTGAGTCCCTGGCCGACATCTTTTTTTTGCACAAAGGCCCCTGGTTTCGTAGGTAATTTTGTATTTTTTTGCGAATAATTTTGCATTGACCTCTTAAGTGCCGTGACTCATAGGCCAGCACATAGGCGCTGCATGCATAGAGCACATGCACGCGTGATTTTTTCTCTCTTACGAATTTTGTTTTGTTTTTCCGTTTAGTCATACATATTCTCTAAAAATATTTATAGTTTTAATATTTCATTCATTTTAAAAATATATTAAAAGAGTGCAAATATTTCGAATGTATTGTAAAAATTGTTCAGCGCATATTGAAAACAACCTTGATAGTCTATTTGAGAAAGAGTTCATCGTGTCAAAATCACCATGTATCAAAAACATGCCCGTCATATCTTCAGAGAAAATGTTCATCGTATATATGAAAAATGTCCATCATGTATTTAGAAAATGTTCACCATGTATTTAAATAATCAAAAGAATGATCATATGTATTTTATAAAATCACCGTGCATTGGAGAAAATATTCATTACATATGCGAAGAAGTTCATCATGTATTTCTAAAATGTTCTTCGCATACTCAAAAAATGTTTATCATGTATTGGAAAAATATTAATCAGGTATATAAAAAAATGTTCATCACATATTTGAAAAATGGTCATCGTGTATTTGAAATATGTTCAGCACATATTTAAAAATATATTCACCACATATAGCCTACCCCAACTTGTTTGGGACTAAAGGCTTTGTTGTTGTTGTTATTCACCACATATTCGAAAAATGTTCATCACTTATTTAGAAAAATGTCCACACTGTGTCTAAAATTGTTCATCGCATATTTAAAAATCCGATACATGAAAAGTAGCAGGGCCGAGCAATTAATATGAATGACATGGCAAGTAAAACAAGAAAAGGACGTGCAAGAAAAATAGGGCAGGCCATGCATACCTGTCCGGGTCAAAATTCTAAGAACTCTCCGGCTGGGTATCTTCTGCGGGCCATCTGGCCTTTGTGGAAAAAAAACAGGTGCAAAAACGTGAGCTATGGCACTTAAGAGGTCAAATACAAAATTACGTATGAAACCAAGGGCCTTTGTGTAAAAAATATGAGGCCAGCCACGGACTCACGTGAGCGCCGCATGACAATTTTGTGCTCGACCGACATCACGTGCGCCGCGCATGACCGCGAAAGAGAGAAAACCGGACGGCTGGCCGGTTCAGATGCCCCGTGTGACCAAACTTCACCGGCAACACAAGTTCTATGATGGGTTTTTCCAGTTTGCAAGTACCGTGACTAAAGTGCTCCCGTAACACAAGTTTTTAGACCGCCAGTGCCATTTACTCTACCCGTTAACATTATCATGTGTTCCTTGTTAATTATCTCGGTGTGCCGTTTAGTCAAGTTGTGAAATAAAACTTGTAATAATAATAATAGCGTAAAAAATGGAAGGGATGTAACATACGATCTTACCTGGTCAAATACTGGAAATGATGGTAGCACCAGTTCAACATCATTCTTGAAGTCACAGTGATCACTGGGCAAGTTAGCAATGACTTTGATCTTCTTGAAAACAAAGTGTTAGCAGGCAGCAGTTCGTACGAAATAAGGGGTAATTAATGGTTCTACTAGCGTGCAACAGTGAGGACTGTCCACTCGGACTCAGATGTTCATGTTCCTCCTGTTGATATCTTTTTTATCTACTACTCCCTCCGTTCCAAATTACTCGTCGCAGAAATGGATGTATCTAGAACTAAAATACATCTAGATACATCCATACCTGCGACAAGTAATTCGGAACGGAGGGAGTAAAAGCTTACTTGTGTTTTCAAATTTTCATGGTGATACTCTAACAAGCTGATTGCTGGAGTACTCTGTCGATCTACTTTCGTCAAATGCAACATCTAATTGTAGTTTGCATGCGTCGTTTCCTCCTATATTCTTTCAGATGGCAATGAACTAGCCACTTCTCGATATCCTTGGCTTCCAGTGTAAATTGTGGTGTTCAGAGTGCTGGAGCCTAGAGTTAATGTGCTCGACCTTGTACTGTGATTACTAAAACTGATCACTGCTTTCAGATGGAAGTTGGAATTGAAGATTGCCTGCATATTGAGTTTGAGTACAGCAAAAGCAAGTAAGATCAGTACAGTTCCAGTCTGGCAGTATGTTCTTTTTGTCACCCAATTTAGCACAGTCGGAGTATTGACCATCTTCTGGTGGATCATTGCCTTATTCAGGTACCATCTCAAGGATGTCATTGTAGGAAAGATCTATTTTCTTCTAGTCAGAATAAAGATAAAAAACATGGAGCTTGAGATTCGCCGCCGGGAATCAACAGGATCAGGTCCTAACACATATGTTGAGACTGAGACACTTGCTAAATTTGAGCTGATGGATGGTGCCCCAGTCAGAGGTATATTACACATTTATTCTACTGTACCTTTCTAGCGTTACTTTCTAGGTTAGCTCCAAATCATTGAACGTACATATATACCTCAAGTAATGGCCATTGAGGTATCATGAACTCATAATTATCAAATACTCCCTCTGTCCAAAAAAGCTTGTCTTAGATTTGTCAAGATACGGATGTATCTAGACATGTTTGGTGTTTGATACATCCTTATCTAGATAAATCTAAGACAAGCTTTTTGGGACGGAGGTAATACGTTGTCCACACTGTGTGCTGAGTTCACTGAACAACCATTTTTACAGGAGAGTCTATTCCTGTAAGGCTATTCTTGACTCCATACGAGCTAACCCCGACTTACCGCAACATAAACAACAAGTTCAGTGTCAAGTACTACCTCAACCTGGTCCTTGTGGACGAGGAAGACCGGAGATACTTCAAGCAGCAAGAGATAAACATGTTCCGCCTTGACGAAACTCCACAGCCTTCATAAACTTCAACCGCTGGGAACCTGGCCTGAATGGTGTTGCAAGAATTAGCAATTTGGCATCCTGTTATGCTGTATATAACTCTCCAGGAGAGCGTGCAGTGCAGTTCCAATGTACCGTGGCGCTGTCACTTGTTACGCCTTTTTCATAGCAATCTGGTTAGATACAATCACTGAAATGCTGGATTGCTGACTTTTGACCATATTTTCATTTCGGCCCTCTTGTGAGACATTTTTTTCCTTAGACGCTTGTGAAGCATCTTGAGATAACCAATTGTATTTGATATTTGCTTCATCTACTATCTACTACTCCTATAAAAGGAAGAGAGGGCGGAGAACCAAATCATCTTATCCATCTAAACCTGCAATCTGATGGTCTACATCGCTTCAAAACACCAAACATGTTTTATGTTTTAATTACCCACCATGCCATTATCTACTACCATTATAAAAGAAAGAGATGGGCACATCCAAACAATCAGATCCATCCATTTACAAGATCTAATGGCTCTTAATCCTTTAATGTTTAACCCTACAAGCCACGGAATTAAGCCCCCGCTGCCCCTTCGTACAAAAAACTGCTCCGCACGCCGCACCACAACCTTCGCCCGCTCCTCCTGTAAACAAAACAATGCCACGACCGCGGCCCGCTCCTCCATTCCGCCCCCGCTCCACTCGCCCACCATCGCCCGCTCCACTCGGCCTCCGCCGTCGCCGCCGCACAACTGGGCCTCCATCGCCGCCGATCCTCCGCTCGCTGCTCCACTCTACCGCCGTCCGTCGTCCGCCGGCTGATCCGCCACTCCGCCGTCCGTCGTCCGCCGGCTGATCCGCCACTCCGCCGATGGCCTCCTCCCAAAGGCACTGACGGGATAGGGTTCCCTTGCCTATGCGGTTTTCCCGTCGCTCCCTCCTGCAGCGAGGTGCTCCCCTTCATCATTCTCATGTTCCCCGCTCCGGCGCTCCCTCTCTGTAAATGTACCCAGTCCGGATGCAAGTCATGCAATTGATGAGCTCTGAGTTACAGTTGATGCGCAAGTAGGTGCATAGCTGTGCATTATTATACTGTAATTGTTTAACCTCTGCCAGACCACCTCTATCCCGATGCGCCGGCGAACTGGCTGACCGCCGTCTCTACCCGACAGCGAACCTCCGCCTTGACGCGCCGAATGACCTCCGCCTTGACCTGTGCCGCTGTAACGCCCCGAGACCGATGTGCCAGGTGTCGTTCAGTTATTCGCTGTTGTTGCCTTGTCATTGCTTGCGTGTCATGCATTGCATATCATGTCATCATGCACATTTCATTTGCATACGTGTTCGTCTCATGCATCCGAGCTTTTTCCCCGTTGTCCGTTTTGCATTCCGGCGCTTCGTTTCTCCTCCGGTGATCATTTCTTCCCTTCTTTCATGTGTGGGGATTAAATATTTCTGGATTGGACCGAGACTTGCCAAGCGGTCTTGGTTTACTACCGGTAGACCGCCTGTCAAGTTTCGTATCATTTGGACTTCCTTTGATACTCCAACGGTTAACCGAGGGACCGAGAAGGCCTCGTGTGTGTTGCAGCCCAACACCCTTCCATTTTGGCCCAAAACCCACCTAACTCTGCTCCATCATCTAGAGCGTTCGATCACAATCGCGTGGCCGAAAACCGCACCTCATTTGGACTCTCCTAGCTCCCTCTACCTATAAATATGTGTCTCCCTCCGAAATTTCCGCGCAGATCAAACCCTAGATCCAACTCCCTCCGCGCCGCCGGACGTTTCTTCCCGCGCCGGACATGTCCGCTACCCCGCCACCTCACTTCGTCCAATCAGGAGAGGCCACGTCATCGTGCCGCCGCCCTCATCCACTCCCCTCGCACCATCTGTCTGCTGTCGTCGTCCCCGCGGCCGCGGCCCGCTGAGCCCATCGCGGTCCCGCGCAGACCCGACCGCGCCGCCGCTCGGCGCGAGCTCCGCGAGCCTCGCGCGCGTCCACGTCCGGCCGTGTGACGCCCCCGATTCAATCGTACACTATTCATGCACGCAAATGTGTACGATCAAGATCAGGGACTCACGGGAAGATATCACAACACAACTCTACAAATAAAATAAGTCATACAAGCATCATAATACAAGCCAGGGGCCTCGAGGGCTCGAATACAAGTGCTCGATCATAGACGAGTCAGCGGAAGCAACAATATCTGAGTACAGACATAAGTTAAACAAGTTTGCCTTAAGAAGGCTAGCACAAACTGGGATACAGATCGAAAGAGGCGCAGGCCTCCTGCCTGGGATCCTCTTAACTACTCTTGGTCGTCGTCAGAGGGCTGCACGTAGTAGTAGGCACCTCCGGTGTAGTAGGGGGTCGTCGTCGATGGTGGCGTCTGGCTCCAGGGCTCCAGCATCTGGTTGCGACAACCAGGTAGAAGGGAAAGGGGGAAAAGAGGGAGAAAAGCAACCGTGAGTACTCATCCAAAGTACTCGCAAGCAAGGAGCTACACTACATATGCATGGGTATATGTGTAAGGAGGCCATATCAGTGGACTGAACTGCAGAATGCCAGAATAAGAGGGGGATAGCTAATCCTGTCGAAGACTACGCTTCTGGCAGCCTCCGCCTTACAGCATGTAGAAGAGGGTAGATTGAAGTCCTCCAAGTAGCATCTCCAAGTAGCATCTCCAAATAGCATCTCCAAGTAGCATCTCCAGTAGCATCGCATAGCATAACCCTACCCGGCGATCCTCTCCTCGTCGCCCTGCGGAAAAGCGATCACCGGGTTGTCTGTGGAACTTGGAAGGGTGTGTTTTCTTAAGTATCCGGTTCTAGTTGTCATAAGGTCAAGGTACAACTCCAAGTCGTCCTGTTACCGAAGATCACGGCTATTCGAATAGATTAACTTCCCTGCAGGGGTGCACCACATAACCCAACACGCTTGATCCCATTTGGCCGGACACACTTTCCTGGGTCATGCCCGGCCGCGGAAGATCAACACGTCGCAGCCCCACCTAGGCAAAACAGAGAGGCCAGCACGCCGGTCTAATCCTAAGCGCACAGGGGTCTGGGCCCATCGCCCATAGCACACCTGCACGTTGCGAGGGCGGCCGAAAGCAGACCTAGCCTAGTGGCGTTCCAGTCCAATTCGGCGCGCGCCGCTCCGTCGCTGACGTCTGAAGTGCTTCGGCTGATACCACGACGTCGGGATACCCATAACTACTCCCACGTAGATGGTTAGTGCGTATAGGCTCGTAGCCGACTCAGATCAAATACCAAGATCTCGTTAAGCGTGTTAAGTATCCGCGAACGCCGAACAGGGCCAGGCCCACCTCTCTCCTAGGTGATCTCAACCTGCCCTGCCGCTCCGCCACAAAGTAACAGTCGAGGGCCGTCGGGAACCCAGGCCCACCTCTACCGGGATGGAGCCACCTGTCCTTTCAGCCCCCTCGTCAGAATCACTTGCGGGTACTCAATGAGCTGACCCGACTTTAGTCACCATCTGTATAGTATGTATGTATGTATAGTATATACCCGTGATCACCTCCCAAGTGATCACGGCCCGATAGTATAGCAAGGCAGACTGACAAGAATGTAGGGTCACTGATGGAACACTAGCATCCTATACTAAGCATTTAGGATTGCGGGTAAGGTATCAATGACTGTAGCAGCAATGACAGGCTATGCATCAGAATAGGATTAACGGAAAGCAGTAACATGCTACACTACTCTAATGCAAGCAGTATAGAGAAGAGTAGGCGATATCTGGTGATCAAAGGGGGGGCTTGCCTGGTTGCTCTGGCAAGAGAGAGGGGTCGTCAACACCGTAGTCGATCACAGGGGGTACCGGCAGTGGCCTCGGGGTCTACCGGAAAAAGTAACGGAGGGGGAACATAATAAATAACAGAGCAATCAAAGCATAACATGACGAATGCGGTGCTAGAGGTGACCTAACGCAGGGATAGGTGATACCGGTGAAGGGGGGAAACATCCGGGAAAATATCCCCGGTGTTTCGTGTTTTCGGGCAGAGGAGCCGGAGGGGGAAAGTTGCGAGTTCGATAGGTTAGGGGGGAGTGGCAGACGAACGGACTGCGTATCCGGATTCGTCTCGTCGTTTTGAGCAACTTTCATGTACAAAGTTTTTCCATCGGAGTTATGGTTAATTTTCTATGATTTTCCAAAGTTTTAGGTATTTTCTGAAATTTCTGGATTTATTATATTTAGTTTAATCCGAACTGACCAAGTCAATTTGACTAGTCAAAAGGGCATGTGTGACCCACATGTCATAGACTATTTATCTAAACAATTAAATAAGTCTAATTTATTTAATGAGAGCCTACATGTCATCTACTACTAGACTAACTTAGCTCTAATTAAGACCTATTATAGTAGTACTAATCTATGTAAGGGCCGGCCATTACTGGGCACAGCCGGCCACATGCACGGCGCACACACACCTACACAGCACACACACGCTGCTAGGGGTTAAGTATGTTCTATGTTAAAAGAAAACAGCAATTTGTGAATTTCATAGAATTTAATCCATCCATCAAATGGATTTGGTGCAATGGGGTAAAATGAAGATTTTCAAGTGTACTCTCTGCCCAAATTATTTTTATCCACATAAGAACTTGCCTTGTGGATGTTTATTGGCTGTCAAAGGGGCTACCCAATGTGAATTTGCCAAAGCTAGCTGCAGCTACAGTAACTGAACGTTACTGTAGCAGAGGAGCTGCAGCCGAGTGCAGCGGGCAGAGCAGCAGTAGGGAGCGGCAGCCGCGGCGGAGAAGGCCACAACAGTAGGCTGCGGGGCGAGGTGGTCCGCGGGGCGGAGCAGAGGGAGCCGGGCCGCGGTGTGGGGCGGACGACGAAGGGGGCGAACGTCCCTACGGCGTGGGCAAGGGTCGGCCGGGGCGACGGCTGCAGCAACGGACGAGCGTCTGCAACTGCGGGGCAGGCGGGGGCACACGCGGGTGGACGCGGGCGAGCAGCGGCAGCTTGAGCAACAACCGCGGCTAGTAGCACCGAGCAG